GAGCTACCTGCACGGGGAGGAGATTGTGCCAGAAAGAGGCCTATTGAGAGAAGTGGCTGCTGACCTTCATACATGAAAGCAGGCAGGCTTCCTTGTGGTGGCGGGCGCTTCCTTTCCCGTGCCAAGACATACTCTCTGCCCCACTGCCTTTTGAGTTCTCCCCAAAGGCAAGAAAGGCTACTAAACTAATTATCCAGACTCCAAAATTCTCACTGGGTGGGAGGGTTCCATGCACTAAAGCCAACAGTCTTTACACAGGGTCTTTTTTTTTTTTGGTCTCAAGCTTCTGGCTTGGCCTGACCGCCTGGGGCCAAAGAGGCCTTCTATACTTTCCCCTCTGCTGTGTAAAGTAACTAAATAAGTTGAATCAGAGGTTCTCTGGGGATCTGGTGTCCAGCTAACTAGTTTGTTCTCCCCTCCAACCTTCTAAACCATCCATCGGAACACATGCAAGTCCCAAGATGCATGGATCGGAAGGGAAGGCAGAGTCCTAAAGTCTTAACCCGGGATGCCATGTGCAAAGGAAGCTCTTCTACACGGTGGTCTGAGGTTTGAGAAGCTTTTATTAAAGTAGCATCTGAGTCCTTTTGACTGTTCCTTGTAGAAGTTCCCTCATGACTCACGAGGGGAAGGAACAGGCGGGCCCGGGCAGGGTCTGGGCATTTCTGGGTCTAACAGCATGAGAGAACCAAACCTCACCTTCAACTGCCAGCTCCTCACTGCAAGGATCAACACCTTCCCACAGGAACAGTGCCATGAACACTCTCCACAGTACATGCGATAACAAAGAATATCAGCAACTGAACATTTTAGGTGAGAGCTGTGGTTGTCCACATCTGGCATCTACTTTGATGCCGCATCACGTGAGTCGTTAAACATTAGTGAAAGAACTCAAACCGTAAATATTTGAAAACTTCTCAGTGTCTGTTTTCGGCTATCTCTACTGTTAATCACCTTAGCCTCTTATCAAAATTACTGAGGTTTTACAAGTTTCATCATTAGAAAAGAACAGT